ATATATATATATATATATACAGTATATGTGGAAAGGCTAATTTTACCCCAGCATTCAATGTTTCTGCCTTCTAATGTACCTGCTTTAAAGTAATTTTATTTTTTGTTTGTTGTCAAAGCACACCAAGTCCACTTTATGACCTGATTTTTCTGTACTTTCCCTCATCGAGAGAGGTTGCACTAAGTTAGCCTGCAGCCTTAGCCATGAAACAGAAGGCTAGTACCATAAGGCAGATTTTTTTCCCCCCAAGCTTAAACATTACACAACGCCATTTGGAACACAGCCTGCTCAGAGCCCAGTAGTGAAAAAGAAGCAGAAAAAGAAGAGTAATGAAATAAMGACAAGTAAAAATGGCAACAAAGTCAATCAGAATATTTAGCAAATAAATGTACCATCTGCTGTGAAACTGCTCCTGGGAAGTCAACCTACATCGAGAGGCAAGACTACCAGACAAAAAGACATTTGCATTCATTTAATTTAGTTTGCCTCAAAATGCACTGGGGAGTAAAAAAAAAAAAAGAAGCTGGTGTCCAAACAATTTCACATCTGCGAAGTGTGAGCTACACTGATCTGGCAGATTTTGTCTCCACTTTGTTTAATGCAGCATGGGTTAAAGATAAGACTGGAAAGGCATTGAAGAAATTCCCAGAAAGTTCACTCACCCTGAAACAAAAATGAGTCATTTAAGGATAACTATTTTAGCTCTCACCTTGGTTGTTTTTAATGGTAAAATTTGGGTTGTTGAGCATCTCAGGCACTAGGCGATAGTCAAAGTAGTGACCCTGTATCGGGTCGTCTTTGTCCACAGCACTGACAGTCTGAATCACCTGTGTTGAAAATAAAAAGAAAAAAAAAAGAAAAAGAGAAGTAGATGTAGAAAGGAGGGTTAAAAGCCTTTAGATGAGGAAGCCTATTCATTAAAATGTTGCCATCACAGATTGCCTGATTATAAGGGTGTATTCACATCAACCCTGCATAGTCCACTTTAACCAAACTCTAGTCTATTTGCCCAGAAAATCTGGTTCATTTGGGGAGGTGTGAATGCATAATGAAACTCTGATGCAGACCAAAGAAGCAAACTCTGGTCCACCTGAAAACCTAGGTCTTGGTTTCAGTTGAAGTAAATTCTTGTGCAGTTGGATTGCACATATGAACGCCAAGAGGACCAGAGACCGTTCCAAAAGCAGGAAGCAGACTATAACACAGGGCATTCTGAGTAATAATGGTAATAAAGTTACTCACATCTTGTAAATACCTTGCTTGATATCTGCATAAGGTGGACATCAAAACCTACTCCTACCCGGTGAATGCTGCCTTACATGGAGCCGTCTATTCACAGGGTTTAGTTTGTTTGGCACAGAGCAATGTGAATGCAAACCTCACCGAAAGAGAACGTAAACAAATTTTTCAATTTTGGTCCACAACCGAGCCGAGTCTACTGGACTTTCAGGTACGAATATGACCTAAGAGTAACTGGATCATACCTTAGGGAATGAATGAATTTTTCTATTCCAGGAGTTTTGGATTATTAAGTCCTGTCTAAAATTTGACACACTTTCAGGCTCCTGGATCTATATGTTAATCTGCCATCACAGGTCCTATCAAGCTGCATATGTTTTTGATTGATTAGGAATTAGAATTCWGGCCCCTCTAACAGAACCCCCATCCACTTTTATAATATGGCTCCCTATTGTACACACACAGGTCCCTTGAATGAGGTCGATTGATGAGAAGGAGAATACTAAGTACTTGTCCAGGATTTTTGGCTGGGGAAAGCATTGTGCCATCTGGAGGAAGACATGAAAGACAGTCTTGAATTATGATCCTCTCTGATCAATCCTGACTGCACTCGTTTTCCCCCGCCGCTCTGTGCTCACCGCATCGAGGGAGGACTGTTTCAGAGAGAAAAAAAAAAAAAAGGTCTGTGCTCCCACCTCTGTGGTTTCACAGGGAAATAAATAGGCTATAACTCATTGTGGCCAATCATTACAGGGGAGGAGAGAAAGTAAAAGAAAAAGGACAGAGAGTAAGAAAGAGATAGATCACTGCTTTGATGAATGAGTCATTTCTCTCCTTACCTGTCCAGGTTTTCCATTTTCACAAAGAACGGCCTGGTATTCATCGGCAAATTCAGGGGCATTGTCGTTAATGTCCATTACTCTGATGGCCACAATCGCCCTTGATATTTGGCTGTGGTTCTCTGATTTATAAAAAAGGTAGACATGTAGGTAGAAAGATGGAGAGATAGACAGAAAGTGTAAAAAATGAAAATACTCTTGAATAATTAAGAATAACTGAAACAAAACAACATGTTACACATGAAATTCCAGGTAAATTATGTGACCTAGTTTTATATCCTGTTTCCCCGTCTTTATTTTGTTCCTTCRTTTCCTCAGTTGACGGGAGGACAGATGATAAGCTACATTAATTTCTATTTCAGTGGGCACTGATAACACAAACAGGAATCTAGGCAGAAAAAAATGAATGCATTTAAAATGATTTTGAAAATCATGTACAACGTAATATTTAAAACATGAGTGTTAAAACACRCATAATAATAAGTCATTGGTAGATCAAGTCCAAAAATACAATAAAAGGCTATTTAATTAGATGGGATTTTAAGTGAAAATATTCATCAATGATAACTGACAGTTCCTTTTGAGATACCCTGTGAATTGGTGTATTTATTAATCAGTGGAGCAATCGCCAACTTTTCAAGCAGTTAATTATCCATTTAGTCCCAAGAGGGCTTTTCCACAGTAGCCAGTGACAGATTTCATTTTATTTTATTTTTTTGTCCCTCTTATTATCTTTTTTTCCAAGAAAATATGGCCTGACATGSTGGAAAGCTACTTCCTCAACAGCATCCACTGGGAGGAAGCTGATTTATTACACAAGTTATATTCAATACAACAAAATATTCATCTAGTATGAAAAAAAAATAAACAGAAATACACAAAAATGRGCCTAAATAATACCCAACCCTAACTATTCAGTTGTGAGAAGTGAATAGCATTCACATCATAAAACCTAAATTATTTTTTATTGTATTTTTTTTAATTCAATTGATTTACAGAATCAGGGTGAAACAGAGCTTCAAAGTTTTTATTGCTGTTTATAACAGCACCACTGCAGTACTCCTMCTAAACAGTATGTGTTGCAGATAAAGAGCTGTCCAGTGATTTGCACATTTTTTAAAATGTTTTTTATTTCTTTTTTTATTGTTTTTTTTGTTAGTGGAAGGTGATCGAAACAAGTGCACTTGCAGACTTATCTTTAACATTTAACATATCAGATTTTATTTCATTAAAGTCATGAGTGATGCATCTACATTTAATTGACACAAGTTTGCTTAAATGATGCAGTCAAGCCATGCACCTCTGCAGCTCTGTCAGTGAATCAGTGAAAACTGTTTAACCGTCACAATCACATTACAGTATAATGGGCTCACACTCTCTTATATCGCAAGGCTTCTGCCAGAACACAATGTTGTTAAAATCCTTAACCAAATTCTTAAATATTGCATGTTTCACCATTGGTGACCGTGTGACTGGTGACAGTGTAAAACCTGCATTTGTTCACAAATTCAGCTTTTACACATTCTTTTGAAAAAATGAAATCAAATTATATATTCTTTCTGAAGAAGTCGCATAGCAACATTTTTTTTTTTTTTTTTTGCATTTGAGTGTTCTAACCTGAAATTTCCTACACATTCTCACTCCCGACTCGTCACATATTGACGCTTTTCCAAAGTTCCCTCTGCGTCTTATTTTGACGCATCAGGTGACCCCCTCGCGTCAGTCCTTGACGCCCGCGGCTTTTCCGGGTTGCGCCACCAGGGGTCTTTGGGTCGGGGGTCTGAGGTTAACATGAGGGATCAGGATTAATGGTTAAGTTTAGGTACTGGGATCAGGGGTAGGATGTCCATGGTGAATATTAGGTAATTTCAGGCTTTGGAACATGTTGACGTGAATTTCCTACATTTTCTAAAAATGGTTAATTTTAGGTACTACGGTCTGGGACAGGATGTCTAAAGTGAACAAAGGTAATTTCAGGCTTCGAAACGGTAGTTTTTGCGCATTTTCTACACTTTCTGAAAATACGACAACAGATTTCGCCCCATCTCGTCAGTAACTGACGTGACGGGGGTACCCGGCGCGTCGAAATCGGACGTAGAGGGAACCTTGAAAAAGCGTCAATATGTGACGACATGGGAGTGAGAATGGGTTGGAAATTTCAGGAAAGTGACTAAATATAAATCTAGCTGCAGGAACTGCAGTAATGTTTTAACACCAGTTGTTTTCTGTTATTTATTTATTTATTTGTTGATGCTAGGTCATTCAATAAAACGGAAACAGGAAGCAGTGGACTAGATGCCTCTTGAAATTCAAGGCCTCCAGTCAATCTAAAAGGTGATTTGAAAAAGAGGTAAACAGTAAGGTGAGTGGAAATTGACAGTCAGATAGACAGTGATAGATGGATTAGAGCTTAGGGAGGAGGAGACAAACCCCTCCCCTCACATCAATGATTTTCCCCCTGTAGCAGACAGGGAATAGAATCTGATTAGTCAGATGTCAACTGGTGCGAGGCAGCAGAACAAGCCTCCGTTTGGGTGGCAAATGGCAGTGGGATAGAACCGGGAACACATCTATTCCTTTTCACGCCAGAGAAAACACCGCCTTATATGCTGTCTCTCTGTGAAGAATAGCAAAACTGCTGTATTTATTTTGGCAAATTCATATTAGGTGTTAGAGATGCCACTATCTTGAGCCACAGTTACTTTGCCAAGAGGCATGAAAACATGCCTTGAATGTAGGGGTGTACGACATGACAAGGCAAGCAGCTTATCAAATGAAACACATTCACGTCCTCCAATAGGTTGCATCGATGGTGGGATTTGTCTATACTCTGCAGCCAAAACATTGTGACAGCGGTTGGGCTTTGATTTATTCCAACAATTAACAAGTGTTTCCTTTGATTAAAGAAAGAACGTGACAGACGGAGAATGAGACACAGAGAAAACGAAGGAGATTCAGCAAAAGCAGACAGAAAAGTTACAAGCTGTGTAAATTTCTATTCCAATAGCTTAAAGGGGTACATTAAGCTTTATCACATCATACAGCCCCCCTGAAACAATCTGTATGCAAATAAAGCCTTGCATATGGTTGGAGCTGTTTGTAGCTCTGCCGGCAAGATTTTCTACATAGTCAGTGAGTTTTGTGGTTCGCAGATGTTTTTTAATCTGTAATGGATGCTGGCGTTGGAGCAATCCACTCTGGAGCATGTCTTTAAAACTGTTTATTTGATATGTCTTAATGTTATTGCACTTGCACAAATTGAGCACTGAGCCATTTAATTCAATCAAAACTCAGCAAATTAACGYGTTTAATGCCTCCGTGGATTCACTTGCTAATTGTTTGTGCTATGCTCTCTGAGCGTTTAAATATGCTGTTTAAACTGTTGAACAAAGGSTTTTGAGTAGCAGGTCAGTAATTCCTTTGACTGAGGCAACTTGTGAAGTCACTCAAAAAAAAAAGGAGACCATGCGTGTCCCCGTTGGTGTTGCTTGGTTTTAAACATTGTGTGCCAATTAGTGCCTAACAGTTTGCTGACTTGTAGGACATTGCAACTGATGAGGCGCATTGTGCACAGTGAGCAAGAAAAGAGCAYGGGAAGGTTACTTACTGAGTTCTGTAGCTGTTACGGTGATGTTGTGCCACATGTCGGTTTCCCGGTCCAGTGGTTTGGCCAGCGTGATCTTCCCGTCATCCACGTTGATGTTGAACTGCCTCTCCAGGTCTGTGTGCCGGTCGATAAAGTATCTGCGAAGACAAACAAACATCAGAAATCTGAGCCAAATCACTTTAGAAGCAGCATCTTTTGAAATCCTCGGGGTGCCGTGGCTAACAGAGCCTTATTCATCAAGAATAAGAACCTGTAGATCAATGCACTTTAAAAAATGGTAACAAATCAATAATTATCATCTGAGGAACAATTACTGCCTTCACACGAGCAGCACAAGAGCCCAATAAAGTCTCAGAAGCCCTCCCTCCAAATCACCCCCTACCTCCCTCACAAACACACACACACACACACACACACACACACACACAC